CCACATTCTTTACATTCAAATGGTTTCTCACCTGTGTGAATGTTCTTATGGCGATTAAGTAGGGTGGGAAAACTAAAACCTTTCCCACATTCCTTACATTTAAAGGGTTTCTCACCAGTATGAAATTTCTGATGTCGAGTAAGTTGTATACGAAGTCTAAAGGCCTTCCCACATTCCTTACATTCATAGGGTTTCTCTCCAGTATGAATACTCTGATGTTGAGTAAGATGTGAACCACGACGAAAGAATTTCCCACATTCCTTACATTCATAGGGCTTCACACCAGTATGAATTCGCTGATGCTCAATAAGTTCGTGCTGATGGCTGAAGGCTGTTCCACATTCCTTACATTCAAAGGGTTTCTCAGTAGTATGAGTTTTCTGATGCCGAGAAAGCTGTAGGTGAAGTCTAAAAGGCTTTCCACACTCCTTACATTCATAAGGTTTCTCACCAGTATGAATACTCTGATGTTGTACAAGATTCGAGCCACGATTGAAGGCCTTCCCACATGCCTTACATTCAAATGGCTTCTTACCAGTATGAATGTTCTGATGTCCAGCAAGATGTATCAGAAGACTAAAGGCCTTCCCACAATCTTTACATTCAAAGGGTTTCTTGCCAGTGTGAACTTAGCCATGTTCAATAAGTTGGTAAGGATATTTAAAGCCTTTCCCACATTCTTTACATACAAAGGGTTTCTCACTAGAATGAATCTTCTGATGCTGAACAAGATTTGAACCATGATTAAAGGTTTTCCCACATTCCTTACATTCATATAGTTTTGCACCTGCATGAATACTCTGATGTTGAACAAGGTTTGAGCTATGATTAAAGGATTTCCCACATTCTTTACATTCAAATGGTTTCTCACCTGTGTGAATGTTCTTATGGCGATTAAGTAGGGTGGGAAAACTAAAACCTTTCCCACATTCCTTACATTTAAAGGGTTTCTCACCAGTGTGAAATTTCTGATGTCGAGTAAGTTGTATATGAAGTCAAAAGGCCTTCCCACATTCCTTACATTCATAGGGTTTCTTTCCAGTATGAATATTCTGATGCTGAATAAGATTTGAACCACGACTAAAGTACTTCCCACACTCCTCACATTCATATGGTTTACCTGTATTGTGAATAAAAGAAGTATGATGACTATAAATAGGCATTTTTTCATAGTTGATTATCTTTTGACTGATATATCCCTCTTGATGTCCCTGTAGTCCCTCAAATCTACTTCTATGTTTTGAATCATTTCTAAAACTGGAGGCCTTGAAGCCAAGAGTTTTACTTATTTCCTTTATACCCTGTTTGGGCAAATTTATTTCATAAATATCATTTTTTGTAGATAACTTCTCAGCTCCATAATTTGACTGCATATCTGAAAGAAAAGGAGAAAGCAAACACATTTTTTTATTTTCCTGTAACACAAACATGTACAAAATGCAAAAAGAATAACTTAAATCTAAAATACTTTCAGAGAATTTGAATAAGGATAAGAAGAGCTCCAATAATAAAGAAAGTTTATGTAAGATGGTGATGTTCATAATAGGGGAACAGATTAACTTTGTGAAATTTAGATGTTAACCAAAATCATTTGGTAAGCTTGTACAAATATTGATATTTAAGTAACTCATCTCATTGCACAGAATCAGAATTTTTAGGAATAAAACCTAAGAAGCTGTATTTTCAACATCTCTATCAGATGATTCTGATGGAGATCAAAGTTTAAGGATCCATACTTGAAATGTTTTGAATGGTTTGTCTTTATTCTTAAAATCCAAAACCTTTACCATGGATTCCCTTACAAGAACTCATATCGAGCCACTGTCATCCTTTGTGCCCTATCTTTTTCCTATTGCCTTTTTTTAGCACCTAGAACATGATACAGCCTTTTTTCCATATCTTCATGCTTTGCTCAGACTGTTTCACCTCCCAAGAATCCTCTGGCCTGGGCTGCTTGTAGGAGACATTCTTCTCATCTTTTAAGTCTCAAGATAAATATCTTCCTCAGAGCAGCTGTACCTGTTGGTCCCTATCTAAGTATATCCCTGTCCTTTATTCTATATTCAAGAGCCTCATTCCTTGCCTTCATAACTCTGTTTCAACTGTACTTTCATTCATTCATTATCTCATTTCTTATTCTGTGTATTTTCTTATCCCTAAATCTGCCTATGGGCAGACACAATCCTAATAGGATTCACCACTGAATAATAAGCCGATAGCACATAATAGTTGTTAAGTAGATTATTGGAGAAATACTGATAAGTAAAGGAAATTAGCCTAAGAATGTATATAATACAAAAATAAGCCACTGGGAAAGGCTTATCGTAATAATCATTCATTCAAAACCACTAAAGTTGATAAATAGTACCTTTCTCATATCACTTCTTTTTCAAATGGAAACAAATGCACATCGGTCATGAGCCAGATCGGTCATGTCTATGTAAAATTGGGAAAACAACCACAGAAGGCAGGTAGAAACTTGAACCTAATTAGGTTGACTGCCTGCTGAAATATATCAACATGTTCTAAAAGAAAATCAACAGATGCTAATACCAAGATGACAGATGTTGGAATTATCTGACAAAAACTTTCAAGCCATAATTATGCAAATGCTCCAAAAAGCAACCACAAACACTCTTGAAACAAATGGAAAAATAGAAAATCTCAGCAAAGATATAGAAGATATAAAGAAGAACCAAGGAAAAGTTAGAACAAAAATCTATAATAACTAAAATTAAAATATTGCTGGATGGTCTCAATAGCAGACTGGAGAGAACAGAGGAAAGAAACAATGAACTTATGATAGAGGAACAGATTTATCCAATCTGAACAACAGAAAGAAAAAAGATTGAAAAATAAATGAACAGAGCAACAAGGGCCAGAAGGACAATGCCAAACATTCTGACATTCATGTCATCTGCATCCCAAAAGGAGAGGAAAAGTGTGCACAGCTGAAAAAACACTGAAGAAAAAAGAGCTAGGGGCCGGCCCCATGGCGTAGTGGTTAGGTTTGGCGTGGTCCTCTTCGGCAGCCCAGGTTCATGGGTTCAGATCCCAGGCACGGACCTACACCACTAGTCAGCCACGCTGTGGCAGTGACCCACATATAAAGTAGAGGAAGACTGGCACAGATGTTAGCTCAGGGCTAATCTTCCTCAGCAGAAAAAAAAAAAAAGAAGGGCTAAAGCCTTCCCAAATTTGGCAAAATTCATAAACCTACAGATTCAAAAATCTCATTGAGCCCCAAAAAGAATAAGCCTAAAGAAATCCACACCCAAACTCATCATAATCAAACCGGTAAAAACTAAAGAAAAAGGAAAAAGTACTTGAAAGCACCTAAAAACCCCCACAACTCATTACCTATAAAATCGCACAAACTCAGAATGTCATGCTTTAAGAAAACTGGCATGGGGGCCAGCCCATTGGCATAGTGGTTAAGTTCGTATGCTCCACTTCAGCAGCCCAGGGTTCACAGGTTCTGATCCCAGGACCAGACATACACACCGCTCATCAAGCCATGCTGTGGTGGTGTCCCATATACAAAATAGAGGAAGATGGGCACAGATGTTAGCTCAGGGCCAGTCTTCCTCACCAAAAAAAAAAGCAGGGGGGGACTCAGGAGCCAACTTGAGGAGGCCCGCACTGGCTAATGAGGGCACAATTTGAGCATCACTAAAAATAACAATAGAGTGAAACACTTCAAATATTTTAATTCCATGTATTTATAATCACCATAAAAAATAGGTCACCTCTGAAAGGATGCTAGGAAACTAACCCATTTAGAAAGCTGGTAAACAAAGGAAAAGAATTGACTATTTATCTTGACTTTTCTATATGATCTGTAAAACTGAGTAACCAAGTAGTAAATGAGGCAGTTTCTTTTTACAGATGCTCTCTAGCTGATAAAGAATAAAGGCCAGAATTAGAATATATCACCAATTTGGAACCTCTAATGAATTAATGGACATAGTAACTGACCATCAATGGCTGCTAACATCACTAAAACTAGACACCCAGACATCATGTGCCAAGTGACTGAAGAATACCACCACCTAGCAAACAGTCTTGCCAACAAATACCCCAAAACCAGAGTTAGACTAAGCTTCCAGACCCAACTATCAATTTACAGGAAATGGAGGACAGAGGAGCATGTTAATCTATATCACAGGGTACAATCGGCAAAATCCAGACGGTGGGAAACTGTAGGACAAATGATCTAATCTTATCAAGAAAACTGCTACGAATAAAAAACAATCAAAAGAGAACCTATAATTTAAAAGGGACTAAAGACTTTTTAAAATGACAAGCAAAATAAATCCAACTGTTGGGAGATGCTCACTGAGGTGATAGAACTCTAAAGAAAACTCTTCCTGCAGGGAGGAAAAGATTTGTGATTGTAAAGACACACATGAAAGGCTTCTGGGGCAGCTGGCAAAATCCCAACTCATGACCTGGTGGTTAAAAATGTGTGTACCTTAATATAATTAATCATGCAATTCTTTGTTTTATGTGGTCTTCTGTCTTCTTGTCATACTTAGTTTGTTTAAAAACTAAGAAATGAAAAAAATTTTAAACATAAATCAGAACGTGGCTATAAATAACTATTCCTCACAGTGACAATCAAAACCTCATAGGATCTGGCCCTGGCTTAACTCCCGGACCTCCCTTCTTACTCTCCCCTCACCTACTTGGCTCAAACGTTCTTACTGCTCCTAGGCACCCAGAGATCACTTTCCCCTCAGGGCCTCTGCATTTCCTGCTCAGGCCAGAATGCTCTCACCCAATACGTGGCCAGGAACCCTTACTTCAGGCTCTGAGCAAACATATTCAGTTTAAGACATGTTCCCTGACCACCCAAGCTCTGTCATTCTCACTCCATTACTATATTTACTTGTCTGCAAAGCATGATTCCTGATGTTACTGATCTATTCATTTGCTTATCTGTTTAATCCACGTCTTGCCCACTGCAGGTGAAGTGGGCAGAGAGAGCAGGGACTTTATTATGTTCATTTCACCATATGGACAGTGCCAAGCATGGGCCCTTGCTTGCAGTGGGCACTTGATAAATATTCGCTGAACATATGAATACATTTTTTAGATACGGGAAACACATATAGAAATCTAGATGCAGGGCCGGCCCTGTGGCTTAGCGGTTTAAGTGCGCACGCTCCGCTACTGACGGCCCGGGTTTGGATCCCGGGCGCGCACCGACGTGCCGCTTCTCCGGCCATGCTGAGGCCGCGTCCCACATACTGCAACTAGAAGGATGTGCAACTATGACATACAACTATCTACTGGGGCTTTTGGGGGGGGTGCGGGGAAGGAGGAGGATGGGCAATAGATGTTAGCTCAGCAAAAAGAGGAGGATTAGCACGGATGTTCTCAGGGCAGATCTTCCTCACATAAAAAAAAACAACAACAACAAGAAATCTAGATGCAAAGCAGAGCTGGAAAGCAGCTGGATGCAAAACCTATGTTAAAAGCTTATACTGGGAAAGAAAGAGGGCACTCACTCCACTAAAAGGGGAGGGAAATAAGAGAAGAGAAATTCCGTGATTAGAAGAAGATGAAGTTCCTTTGATAGCTCATGCTGTGATCTTTATTTCCTTCCCAGGTCTCAGGCATTTTCATCTAACAGGCCTTGGGTCTTTAAAGGAAGCTTTCCAAACCACATCTTAGGGTTGTGACTCCTCTCTGACCCCGGGGGCTGTCCCCAACAATGATGGCTCCCCGATGGCTTTTCCCTCATTTACCTGGGTACCATCCGCTTGTTTCTTTTCTCACAACCATCCAAGGTCCTTTCTCTTGCTCCAATAAGGTTATCACATCTGGCTTAGAAATGGAACTTCCTGCTTAAAAGAAAAGAAATGACATATAATGTAGAAATTTTTTTAATTAAAAAAATAACTTTAGGGGCCAGCACGGCGGCGTAGTGGTTAAGTTCGCGTGCTCAGCTTCAGCAGCCCGAGGTTCACAGGTTCGGATCCCGGGTCCAGACCCACGCACTGCATATGAAGCCATGCTGTGGCAGGCATCCCACATATAAAGTAGAGGAAGATGGGCACGGATGTTAGCCCATAGCCAATCTTCCTCAGCAAAAAGAGGAGGATTGGCAACAGATGTTAGCTCAGGGCTAATCTTCCTCACCAAAAAGATAATAATAATAACTTTAATTGAGACCTGGTTAAATTCATAATAAATTAAAAGTCAAAATGATATTGAGAAAAACTTCAGAGAAGGGTAAGAGACTTGAAGAAGAGACCAGCTAGCTTATAAAAAGGACTTAGTTTCATTTAAACTCATATAGGGGCTGTCCTTTGAGAGGAAGTATAACTTAGAGGTTGAGAACATGAACTTTCAAGCCAGATTGCCTGGTTCAAGTCTTGTCTCTGCCACCCACTGGCAGTATGACCTTGGACAAGCCATTTAAACTCTCCGTCCTTCAGTTTTCCTATCTCTACAATGCGGATGATAATAATACGTATTTTACAGGATTGATATTAAAATTAAATTAGTTAATATATGTAAAACACTTCAAACATTGCCTAGTATATAATACTACAAGGTTAACCTTTATTACACTTATTATTGTTATTTATTTGGCCTTTTTAGACATTTTGGTTCATGTTTAGTATATTCATTCAATGAAAAATACAATGAAACTTTCAACTACACAGCAGGTAAAGGAATGTTTGCTGAAGGAAATGGAATGTGTCCACTTCAGTTTTAAATGAATTCAGTCAACCCAATCAATATTATGTAAATCAGAGGCTCTTTTGATAGAAAAATTCAAAACACTGTTCTCCCTGCAAGTGGGTCAGAAAAAAACCCACAGAACATCTATAGTAATTCTGTAACCAAACACAATATGAAACTTGGTTTCTTAGATAATGATCACACTACTAATGTCTAAGATTTCAAATTCAATTCCTTGGTCATTAAGAAAGAGGGAGTTACAGAGGCCGGCCCAGTGGCGTAGTGGTTAAGTTCACGCATTCCACTTCAGCAGCCCAGGGTTCGTGGGTTTGGATCCCGGGAGTGGACCTATGCACCGCTTATCAAAACCATGCTGTGGTGGCATCCCCCATAAAATAGAGGAAGATGGGCATGAATGTTAGCTCAGTGCCAAGCTTCCTCAGCAAAAAGAGGAGGATTGGCAATGGATGTTAGCCCAGGGCTAATCTTCCTCACCAAAAAAAAAAAAAAAAAGGGAGTTACAGAGAGGGCCAGTCTAAGGGAAAAAGTTCACCAAGGGGTGGGCAAGATGCAGGCATTTTCAACCCAACAAATCCCAAACTATTTCCTTTGGGAACAAGATGAAGGAACTGGGCTATTTCTTAAATGACAGCCCTGAAACTCATGGTGAAGAAAGCTGATATTCTAGAAAAGACACTACCAACTTCTTTTCTTTTTCTATTGCCAATCCTCCTCCTTTTTTTCTTCCCCAAAGTCCCAGTAGATAGTTGTATGTCATAGTTGCACATCCTTCTAGTTGCTGTATGTGGGACGCGGCCTCAGCATGGCTGGAGAAGTGGTGCGTCAGTGCGCGCCTGGGATCCGAACCCGGGCCGCCAGTAGCGGAGCATGCGCACTTAACCACTAAGCCACCGGGCCGGCCCCAACTTATTATTAATAATTATAAATATTTAATATTCATTTTAATTTAATATTAATTAATTAATATTTAGTAGTAATTAACACTGGGGCAGAGAGTCGTACCCAGTGAGACCACGTTGCTGTAGTTCTCCAGCATCACATCCCAGTACAAGTCCCTCTGCACAGGACTGAGGCACTCCCATTCCTCCTGAGAGAAGCGGACGGCCACGTCCCTGAACGTCACCAATCCCTGAAACCACAGACACACTGGTGAAACGGAAGGAAATCATTTCAAGATGAAAGGAGAGGAGGCGAAGGAGCACACTGCAGGAAAGGAGCAATATGGAACTTCACAGGGTGCCTACGTGTTCTTGAAGAATCCCGCTCCTGCAAAGCAAACTTCTGGCATGCTGTGGGATAACTTACCTATCCCAGCATGTCTGCGAATGGATAAAAAAATCTGAATTTCCCTGCTAAATAAGCACCGTGCCTGCCTCACAAATGCTCGGTAAATGTGCATTTCTATACCATCTTTAGCCAGCCCTGGTGCTCTGGTGGTTAAGACTCAGCACTCAGACCCTCATGACAAGCGCAGTTTTTTAATGATAGGAAGTACCGACTCCCTGAGAACTCTGTTTTTATTTTTATTTTTTAATTTGGAAGAAGCTTTATTGTGTATTTTTGATGATGGAATAGAGTGTGGAACTGTTCTTTTTAAGAACTTAAAAAGAAGAAAGTTAAAGTTGTAGTCCCACCCTCTAGAGATAGTCATTATTGATGTTTTGGTTTATATTTTTCCAGTTGTTTTTTCTGTGTAGATATGAGAGTTTTATTTCTGTAGAATAGAATGAGTTTGAAAAACAAATTCAATTTAGACATGATTTTCATTCATTTCTGGGTCTGTGGAGAGAAGCGCAAAGTGCCAGTGTCTCTCCCTCTGAGGCTTCTGGCCCGGAATACACCTTTTCTCCTTGTCTTTAGGAGGAGGAATCGGTTCCTGAGTTCGAAGCTGGCTCCTGGCGACAGGGCTCTGGGAAGGCTGTGGCTCTCAACATGCGGCTGCCCTTCTGGGGGACGTTCAGAGGCACTTCCAGCCCGAACTGCCCATCCCAAGTCCAGATCTGCGCTCGCTTGGGGACACTTTCCAACAGACGCAGGATCTGACCTCCCTACTGGGGCCACTGCTCTGCTGCAGCCCCCGCGGCTGCGAGGGGAGAAGACGGAGGAAGCAGCAGGCCACCGGTCCCAGCGACACTCACACAGCCCCAGCAGCGCACGCTCAGCGTCCACGCGCCCCTCTCCCGCTCACAGCAGCACGCGGAGGCCGCCCTCCCCCGTGCGGGGCAGCACGCGCGCCCTCACGCACACGCTCCCGCACTCGGCGACCGTCCCCCGTGATCGCACAGTCCCCCTCCCCGGCTGCACGCGCGCAAACCTGCCTGCGGCTCCAACACGCGGCAGGTCGGTCCTGCTGGAGTCCTGGTCGGCAGCTGCTTCGCGGAGCCCATGAACTCTTCCTCCGACCTGAGCGCCTCATCCCCTATATGGACGACTCGTCGCGACCGGAAGTGAAATTGGCAAATGCGGCGCGGTGCCCCCTGGGAAATACAGTACGACAGAAAAAGGAGCCTCTACGGTCCGATTGATCCCGGCATGCAACTTGGGCCCGCCCCTAATGCAGCCGAGCCCTGTCATTTGCGGGAGCTCCAGCCCCAGTGCGCAGGCGCAGGCAGATGCTAAAGGGGAGGAGTCTCTGTTTGAGAGGACTATTGCTTCTTGGGGCTTTACGGTAAATTACTTTTCTCTTTATGGAGAAGAATGCAAATGAACATAACTATTAAAGAAGAAATAATCTTAAAGATGGAAAACCCTACAGACTTCACCAAAGAACTGTTAGAATAAATGGATTCCATAAGGTTGCAGAATACAGAATCAACATACAAAAATCAATGTATTTCTATACTCTAATAAACTCTCTAAAAAAAAAAATTAAGAAAACAACCTCATTCCTAACAGCATCAAAAACAATAAAGTACTTACGCATAAATTTAACTAAGGAGGTGAAAGATTTGTATACTGAAAACTAAGGCATTGATGAAAGAAATTAAAGACACAAATAAACGGAAAGATATCCCATGTTCATGGATTGGAAGAATTAATATTGTTAAAATGTCCATACTACCCAAAGTGACCTACAAATTCGATGCAACCTCTATGAAAATTCCAATGGCATTTTTCACAGAAATAGAAAAAACAATCTTAAAACTTGAATGGAAGCACAAAAGAGCCTGAATAGCCAAAGCAATCTTGAGCAAGAACAAAACAAGGCATCACACTTCCTGACTTCAAATTACAGTCATGTGTCACTTAACGACAGGGATACATTCTGAGAAGTGAGTATTTCATCATTGTGCAAGCATCATAAAGTGTACTTACACAAACCCAGATGGATAGCCTTCTACACACCTAGGCTATAGGATACTAATCATATGGTATATGCAGTCTTTTCTTGACTGAAATATCGTTATGCAGCTAATGACTGTATATTACAAAGCTAAAGTAATCAAATATGATGGTGCTGGAATAAAAACAGACATATACCAAAGGAACAGAAAAAGAGTCCAAAATAAACCTACAGATCTACAGTCAACAAATCTTCGACCAGGGTGCCAAGAATACATGATGGGAAGGATAGTTTCTTCAATAAATGGTGCTCGGAAAACTGAATATCCACATGCAAAAAAAATGAAATTGGACCCTTATCTTACATCATACACAAAAAGCAACTCAAAGTGGATTAAAGACTCAAACATAAGACATAGAACCATAAAACTCCTAGAAGAAAACAGAGTAAAATCTCTTCAATATTGGTCT